TAGGGATGAGGGGATGGTGGGGGGGTGATGGGGGATGAGGGGTAGTGCTCTGAAATACTGTTTATTCCAAACGGCGCCCTCTCATACCTAAAACGTCCAAAGGGCGTTATGAACGTAGTCAAGTCCTTCAATTCCTCTGCAATTTCAAGTTGGTGGTACCCTTTCTGGGCATCAAATTTCGTGAACAAAAATGCTTCGTTGGCTTGAATGTTCTGAACTGTCTCCAGGACAGATGGGGACTCGTAGACCTCGCACTTTGAGAACTTATTCAGTGGCTTGAAGTTTACACATAGGCGGATGCTGTCCGAGTTCTTCTTTTGCTCCACCACTATAGGAAGCACCCAGTCTGTTGCTTTTGTCTGAAGTGTTATGATTCCAGCCTTCTGGAGGTGTTCTAGTTCTTTCTCTAATTTAGGCATTAGTGGATATGACACACCATAGGATCTGGTGGCTTTGAACGGAACCGCATTTTCTTCCAGAACAATCTTGAATTTTTCCCCCTTTAGAGGGTTTTCTAAGGGACCAAAGACATCAGCAAACTCATCTATCAAGTCCTGTCGAGTTACCTGGCTTGCTGGTTTCTGGGCCTGGCATGTCTCTAACCTAGTCTTCAGGAGATGCTTCGGCTTTACCGGTATCGGTGGTTTGTTAGACTTACTGACTGTCACTATGGATATCATAGCCTGTTCAGGCACCTGGACATTGTCATGTTTCCGAGTTGTCTCAGTAGGTGGGTCTAGATTGAGCCTGACTATGTTTAGCTCGATTAGGGCATCCTTAGATAAGATTGTGCCACTAAGTCCCGGGAAGACAACAATACGTTGGGTGATAACGTTGCACCCAAAGGCAATGTCGGCTTGGAAATATCCACTTGGCTTCATTCGTACAGTCGTACTCCACTAGCATTTACCGTAGCTTGCATGTCTGCAGTTGGTGGACATAGGTTGTGAAGGTCTTCTTTCACCGACACAAGTTCGTTTTCTGCAATGAAACACCAATCCGATCCTGTGTCAATGAGAGCCTTCACTTGGCTGTGGCCATTTTGTCCATGAATGGTGACTTTAACTAAGTCAACATTAGTGCTAATGGAGCAAATGATGCTTCCCATTAACGTCTTTTTTGGCTTGTCATGGTACGCTGCTGGTTTCTTGCCAGAGTTTCTGCACACTTTTGCAAAATGGTTCAATTTACCACATGATTTGCATTTCTCCCCTTTTGCTGGGCAAGTGGCTCTGTCTCGGTGTTTCGGGTAACCACACTGGTACATCTCGGTTTCTTTCTCTCTATCATTCCGAGAGCAGTCTCTGGACTGTGCAGCTCTTCTGCTTCTGAACCGCCTCGGTTTATTTGGGTTCCTTTCCATTTCTCTGTGGATTCGGGTAACCCTAGAACTAGCAGAATAAGTGAGCTGGGCCTCTGTCTCTGTGATATTTTCGTCTGCTTCCAGAATCTTTCGTGCCTTTTCTACAGAAAGGTCAGGATCTATCAGCATCTCTCGTCTTGCAGCTTCCTTTTCTGTGCAGAACATAAGTTTAGACATAATGTGGTTGTCAATGGCTGCTTGTGCACATTGATTACAGAACCCTTTATCAAAGTTACATTCTTTTACCTTTTCCACCACTTCACTATGGAATTTTGCAATAGACTGGTGATGCTTTTGATGTAAGTGATGAAATTGGTGTCGAGATGTCCACACAGATTTTGTTGTCTCGATTAGGCTTGAAGTAATAGCCACAACTTCTTTAATGTCTTGTTGCTTGGCTGCAGGGAGCTGCATGTAGTCGAAGAGCATCTACACGGTTGAATGTGGATGGTTTCATAGCGGACTCGATGGCAATTTGCTGAGTTTCCCAATCAAACTCTGTGAGTTCGGCTTCCTTGGCGAAAGCAAGAAAGGATCGTTGCCAGCTCCTAAGATCAATGCTAGAGAAAGAGTCCATATCTAACTTTTCTGGACATAGTGTTTTCAGTAATGACCAGTTTACCTTCTTAGCACGAGCATCTGGTAGGTTGCTCTGCTGCTGGACTGTCGCCTCGATTTGCTGTGACTGTTGGGTGATAATTGCAGCTAGCATCTGCAGTAGGTCGTTCTGCTGTGGCACTGAATGTGGCTGTTCGATCGCCAGTAGCACTACCAGCACTCATGTCCACCTGCATTCTTTCTTGTGCGACTTCTCGAGCTGCCATCGTGTGAACAATAGCAATGCACGTATACAGTACGTTTTGCCGCTTTTATTACACGTGGTACTGGTAAACACAGTTCCATCACCCGGTCTCCGTTCACTCAAACTTGCTGGTTCGAAGATTATATCAAATCTCCTCTGCCTTGCAGCGCCATGTTATATATCTTACACTTACACTACCAAAGTCTCAATGTTTCAGGTAGGAAAGCGTGCTGCCAAAATTCGGTCGACTCTCGCCTGATTTCATACGAATACAACACAAATATTCAACCATTCTACGTACTCCATCTTTGTTTCTATTTGAAGAACAATGTTCACTTGTTATAAATTAAAAAGCATACTGTCTGTGTTCGTAACCGAGCTGTGTCATGCAAAATCACACAAAGCCTGACGAAATTCTCGCGTTCGCTCCTGTTGTGCAGTTTATGTAATTGGCTGCAAGTACACGGCTATAGGCGACGCACTGCATTTTGGGAAACTACAACGCTGCTTTCCAACTCCCGTACGAGCCCCGTCAACGCCGCCAGTGGAGCGTTGCAAAAACGTTGCAGCGTTGAGGCGCAAAAATGAGGTCACGAAGAGCGCCGGTGGGTGTTTCCTGATTCCGACAGTCATTTACATAAACTAAGCAATGGGAGCGAACGCGAGAATTTCGTGTGACACAGCTTGGTTACGAACACGTACAGACAGTATATGTTTTTATAACAAGTGAACACTGTTCTTCAAAGATGGAGTAGAACTGTTGAATATTTGTGTTGTATCGTATAAAATCAAGCGAGCGTCGAGCGAATATTTCAGCAGCACGCTTTCCTACCTGCTATATATTTATGTACGTGTCAGTGTACAGCAGCTAGCGTGCGGTGTACTTGTGTGTTGCAGATAAGCATTTGACCGGAATTTACAGGTGACTATAGGCGAAATAGAGTAGAGAAACATTAAGACTTTGGAAGTAAATACATTTTTTTTATTTACCTTCTTTTTTTTTAGACGTTCCAAGTGCCTGTGTGTGGAGAATGTTTATGACTGCGGGCGCCTGGGAAGGGAGGAGGGGAGCCCTACCGGCCTACGTACAACTACAAGTACAAGTTGACAAAATGACGACTTACGCGTATGTTGTCATTTTCTTAAGTCGGCACAAATATGCTGGTCCCAAAAGTGTCGACTTATGCGAGTTTTACTGTACTAACGTTTCATGTTGCGTATAATTCATTAATTACACACGTAACTCCTTCTCGCTTTTTACTACGACAGTCTACGTGGAGAAAATAACGACCGTGTTCCTATGAGTACGACATGAAACAATCGTAGCTCTAGTAATATAGCCCGCGTATAGTTGCCGCAGGCCTATGTAGTAGGCCTTATGTAGGCCTATGTAGTAGGCCTTATGTAGGCCTATGCAGGCCTATGTAGTAGGCCTTATGTAGGCCTATGTAGGCCTATGCAGGCCTATGCAGGCCTATGTAGTAGGCCTTATGTAGGCCTTATGTAGGCCTATGTAGGCCTATGCAGGCCTATGTAGTAGGCCGTAGGCTGCGTTGCTTGCGCCAACTGTACGCGGGCCTATACTAGAGCTATCGTTTGCTAGCTCTAGTGCCAAATCCTATTTGACAACCCCAGGTTTAAAAACCCTAACCCTAACCCTAACCCTAACACTAACCAAACTCACGACATGGGTGTGTAAACACTACTTTGACCAATCTAACTATGCCCATCGTTTGAACTCACCACATGGACTCAATTTCATTAATTTCGTCATTACAACAAGTCTATACAACAATACACGTACTAAGAGCAGAGCACCTTTTTTTTAAAATTAAGATTTCAGTGCTCTGCTAAGAGTACAATATCAAAACAACATGTTTCGTTGCACGCACTTCTCGGGTTTAGCGTTCGCGACACGCGACCGATTGCGCACGCGCGCAAGCCGCGCCATCGGGTGATCGGGAATGATAGCTATATGGTCTTTGGTTTATTCCAACTAAACGTTTTTGTACCAAACCATTTTATTATTATTATTTTATATTCTCTTTTGATTTTATCGTCTACACATGTGTTAAATATTACCGGGAGCTGTCTGACCGTGCATTTTTCAGATTTATCTATACAAATTCGCTTCTTGTTTATAAATTACATTGTTAATTCCTATCACAAGCTTATATATATATACTAGCTATTACCCGTCCTCAAGACGGGTTTGAGAGGGGTCTGATTTGAGGATTGCGGTTTAACCATTTATCTCTCACTTTTAGTTGAGGATGTATTTACAGTAAACGAAAAATACTGATATTTAGACTCGAGTCATATATCAATATTTGTTTAAAAAAAGTTGTCTAATATATATAAAATCTGAAATTTTACCTTAAAATGACATGTAATTAAAAAAAAGGGAAATGAGGTGATTTCATAGTACAATTTGACTTATTTAGATATTATTTTTGAAAATATTATTCTGGTTAGAAGCATGAATAATAAGTGAAATTCTGAAAAAAAATGTATTGAGTAGTTTGGAAGATATATTTTCTTGAAAGTCAGTGGACGGCGGCGGGCACGGTTACACCTCCCGTTGTCAAATATTTGCACACACGCGCGCACACACACACATCAGCCAGCTGAAGGAGGAGAAGCACGTGGTTGTCAAGGAGGGGAAATGATGGAGAAGGTGGTACCTTGCAGAGGGGAACACGGAGGTGGTACGAGGAGGGTGAATCAAGAGGGGAGATAGATGAGAAGGTGGAAGAGCAGGAGGGAATAGAAAGGGGAAAGGCACGGAGGGAAAGTAGAAGAAATGGGTAGGATTGGAGGAGGGGAGGCAGTAGAAGAAAAGAGATGGTCGAGAAGACGGCCGAGGGAATAGGTAAATCAGGGTGAGGTGGTAGAGGAGGAGGAGTAGCAGGATAGTGAGGATGAGGAGGAGAAGGAGGATGCGGCGGTAAAGGAGGAAGGAGAGATTGGTGGATGAGGCACATATATGGGTAAGCTAGGCTGCAGGCATGGTAACAGGGAGACGTAAAGGAGGAGGGAGGGAGAATGAATGATGACGATCGAGGAGAAAGAAGAGAGGAGAAGGTGGAGGCA